CTGCCTCGGTCTCCCATCACTGGGATTACAGGCATGAGCCATCACACACTACCAAACGGTTATTTTTTAAAAACTTAATTTCATTAGGATATAACAGTCTCATGTAACTCAATTTTTTTGTTTTTATTTTTATTATTTATTTTTTCAAAACAACCCAAAGCAGATATTTTTATTTGCCAGATGAATTAAATGAGGCAAAAATAAGGACTAACTTGTTTAAGTTCACATATACCAAATAGTAGAAGTGCAAGAGCTGTACCCAGGACTATTAACCCCAAGCCCATGGTCTTTCTACTGGATGTTCCCTGCAATCTGGTTTATACTCATTATTAAAAAGCATTTATAATTTAACTCAGTTATCATCTATTTACTATCAATTATGAATAAAGATTATTTGACATTTTGGGGTCTTTAAACAATGTTTTCCTATTTGTATATCAGACTTGTTTCATCTCCACATTGACTAAGAATTTACATTTTGTCATCTGTATTTAGAAGTGTATGTTTTAAGGGCCTTTTAATGACTTTTTTTGGGTGGGGTGGGTGCAGGGGATGGAGTCTTGCTCTGTCTCCCAGACTGGAGTGCAGTGGCATGATCCCAGCTCACTGCAACCTCTGCCTCCCTGGTTCAAGTGGTTCTCCTGCCTCAGCCTCCCGAGTAGGTGGGATTACAGGCATGCTCCACCATACCTGGCTAATTTTTTATATTTTTGGTAGAAATGGGGTTTCACCATGTTGGCCAGGTTGGTCTTGAACTCCTGACCTCAAATGATCCTCCCACCTCGGCCTCCCAAAGTGCTGGGATTATAGCATCGCACCCAACCCTTTCAATGGCTCTTAACATTACCTTGGTACACATCGACCTCATCATGCTCCAACTGCAATCACCATAGTATGTTATCTATTTTCCACAGCTTACTGGAGTATTTCAGGTATTAGTCAATGTTCTTTCAGTTGCAAGTCAGAAAACCGACTCAAAATGATCTTAAGCAGACAGGGATCGATTGGCTTATGAAACTAGGATGCTAGCAGTGGACTCGCTAGGGGCTCAAGCAATTATTTCCAAGTTTCTTGTGTCCTTTGCACATCCCCGTTTTTCTTCCTTTCTTTCTCTATCTTTGGCTCCATGTTGACCTAGGGCTCCCCCACTTCAGGTACTTTTGTCTATGTGGTAATCATGGACACAGCAGATGCCTGGTTTACATCATACCAAGTAAACAACCCAAGAAGGGAGAAAATGCCTGTATTTGAAGTTATATACATTAAAATGAATGAATGCACCCAAAGAAGAAATCACGTGACTTTCTTAGGTTATATGCCCACCCTTTAATTCAGCTGTGGTAGGGCAAGATGCTATATTGTCAATCTAAGCAGAATGACCTAACTCCATGTAAAAACCCTGTTTTTATAAAAGTATGGAATATAGTGGAAAGGGAGGCTGTACAGATGATAACAGTAGATATACACTAACATGTGGCTCTAATGTTTAAATTTTTTTTTTTTCTTTGAGACAGAGTCTCACTCTGTAACCCAGGCTGGATTGCAGTGCCACAATCTCGGCTCACTGTAACTTTTACCTCACGGGTTCAAATGATTCTCCTGCCTCAGCCTCCCTAGTAGCTGGGATTACAGGCATCTGCCACGACGCCCAGCTAATCCTTGTATTTTCAATAGAGACAGGATTTTACCATGTCAGTGGGGCTGGTCTCAAACACCCGACTTCAAGTGATCTACCCACCTTGGGCCCCCAAAGTGCTGGGATTACAGACATGAGCCACCACTCCTGGCCTCCTGCTCCACTTTTATATAGACAACGGTACAAATTGTAATCTTACCCGGATGTAAAAGAGATAGTCCAAGAGACCTAAATAGGTATTTTGTGGTAGATTATGTTAATGTAATGTAATGTAATGTAGGAGTTTTGCATTCGTACATTTGTAGTCGTTTTAGTTGTTTTTCATTGTTTGTTTCTGTGTGTTTCTGGGGATTTCACAGTATGACGGGGGTCTAGGGTTTATTCCCAGCCCTTGACTATCTTATGGCAGTACTTCTCAGACGTCGTGAGTTACACAGCCAGGGGTGTAGGGAGGCAAGTAGCCGTGACATTTATTTGAGGACTCTGATGTTTTGTCTAAAATATTCATCTGCATTTTATAATATACTCCATAATTTTCCCATGTAAGTTTAAATAAAAGATGATACATTAAAAGTATTATAAAACTAAATCGTCATTCTAGGGGAATATGCCGTGTTCCTTTCATTTTAAATAATCTGGGATGAATGGTGCAGGCTGAGAAAACAAGCTTTGAAATACGTTTTGGTCAGCTTCTAGACTTTGAACATTTGTCCTATCTTTTAGGGAAATTTAGACATTGGGCATTATGTGTTCCTTGGATACATTAAAAGGTCTTAAATAAGAGTATGCAGCTGGGTGCGGTGGCTCACGCCTATAATCCCAGCACTTTGGGAGGCGGAGGCGGGTGGATCACGAGGTCAAGAGATGGAGACCATCCTGGTCAACAAGGTGAAACCCCGTCTCTACTAAAAATACCAAAATTAGCTGGGCATGGTGGCGCGCGCCTGTAATCCCAGCTACTTGGGAAGCTGAGGCAGGAGAATTGCTTGAAGCCAGGAGGCGGAGGTTGCGGTGAGCCGGGATCGTGCCATTGCACTCCAGCCTGGGTAACAACAGCGAAACTCCGTCTCAAAAAAAAAAAAAAGAGTATGCACACTCGCTGTTCTTCTACTGAAACTTGACAGCAGTTACTTCTCTAAACCTTGGTTTCTTATCTAAACAATGGAACTAATGATAATGTCTACCTCATAGTATTGGCGTGACGAATTTAAAGAAATAATTTATGTAAAATTGCTTGGTGTATGGAAGCATACTCAGTAACTTTTAACTGTTCTCGTTAACTTGGCTATTTACCTGTGTTCTTCTATCGTTATATTTCAAGTTAAGATTTCAAGGTTCCACCTTGTTTTCTCTCCAATGAATGCAGCTAAATCACTTAGATTCTCTAATGGGTTTTTCTTTAATGTTATGCAGTTGGCTAGAGAGTGTAATATATATTAAGAACATAATACCTTCACTACCTCCACATGTGAATTAAGGACTTGAGGCTGAGTGTAGAAGGTGAGGGAATGGGGATGAAGTATGTTTATAACTTGTGTGTTTTCTCTTTCTTAAAGGAATTACGGCTCATCTCTTTTTGCTCAGTGTGAAGCAGTGGATAATGGGTGTCAGCAGGTCCTGTGGCTCTATGGAGAGGACAATCAGATCACTGAAGTGGGAACTATGAATCTTTTTCTTTACTGGATAAATGAAAATGGAGGTAATCCACTCAGATTTCACCCTGCATACTTCTCAGTCATTTTCAACAGGACCAGAAAAACAAGAGCTAGAAACTTAGTACAAGGGAGTAAATAGCACTAAGACTAGTTCCAAAGACTAAGAAGGAACTACTGTGCTTTTGCTGCCCAAGTAGACATGACTTTCAATTTTTTTTTTTTTTTTTTTTTGGAGATGGAGTTGCCCAGGCTGGAGTGCAGTGGCACCACCTCGACTCACTGCGACCACTGCGACCACTGCCTCCGGGGTTTCTCCCGCCTCAGCCTCCTGAGTAGCTGGGATTACAGGCTCCCACCACCACACCCAGCTCATTTTTTTTGTTTGGTAGAGACAGGGTTTCACCATGCTGCCCAAGCGGGTCTGAACTCCTGACCTCAGGTGATCCACCCTCCTTGGCCTCCCAAAGTGCTGGGATTACAGGTGTGGTCCACTGCACCTGGCCGAGTTTTGATTTAAAGACATTCTACAGGTTTTTTTTCTTTCATTTTTTGATTTTTGGCTCTAGATGTACTGATTATTGAGATATTGAGATGTCACATTAAGGGATTTAAGTTACCATGATTGGAAGATTTGCTTCCTTATCCCTTCTGCAGTTCCCCTACGATTTTCCTATGTGAACACCTTGCATTGGGAGATAGGTTTCAGATCAGGTCAATGGTCATTCACCATATACTGTGTATAAAATACTATGGTGATAAATGCAGTGTACTGATTCTACTGGAAGGATTTTGTGTACTCTGGCTGTAATTCTTTTAACAATTGTTGCCCTTTCTACAAATTTTGAAAATGTATCACAATCTCTCCAAATTTGCTCTAGAACTCAATTTGATTTAAAAACACCATTTTAAAAGACAAATCAATGTATCTTGGAATTGTATCTAGATTCTGTTTCATTGAAGATAATTTTACATATCCACTATAGAAATCTATATTTCTCTATTATCTTTTATATTCTGACTAATTATTACTTTTCTTTGCTGTTCTTTTTATTAGTTGGCAGAGAGTATAGGGGTTCAATGAAGTGTTGGCAATGTGTATGATATTAAATTAAATGACCAATGGTGGGGGAAAAGCAGATAGGCATTTTATTTCTGTTAGAATTTTGATAATCATACCAAATTTAGAAACATATTTTTAGACTTGTTTGCATTCTTAGGTTGTTCATTTCACAGTAGTAATTATAGAGACTAGATATATAAATGATGTTTCCAAAATACTTATGAAGTCTCAGTATTAGTTTCAATTAAATTTTTTAAAATGCAATTTATATTTGAAAGTAGCTACAGTAGCCTCTCTTGCTCTAAAATTATCTGGCTACAAAAAGAGGAAAATAGCAATTTAGATGTGGCTGAATTCAGAGCTAGGTACTAATTTTAGTATTAGTTGCAGAGACTAACAAGATGAGTCTTATATTGCAGTCAGAGGTAGAATAAACAGAAGGTGTGGTGAGTACATTTTGTCCTGGGCTTGGCCATTGGTAATCCTTGGAGTATGAAAAACCAGATACGGATCATTCTCATTCTTCCATTCCTGCTGTTTATACTTGGCAGTATTTGAAAATAAAATTTATATTGGAATTTTTATGATTTATAAATTTGAGTTACTATACATGACCTATAACAAAAGCTATGCTTGGAAGATTGTAGCCAGTGAGTGTTGACCTCTGCACTTAGAAGATAATAGGCCGATTAAACTCTTCTTCCTATCTTCCCACTCTTACCCCTACTCCAGACTCCACCAAAAAACCCACACAATTTGAAACAAAAACAGTTACATCATTCAGAGGTGGTACCATCATTATTTTTATGGATGGGAGATGTCAGAATTTAAGTACAGTCTGAATCAGAGATACATGATTTAACCAGAAACCATCCTGGTGGAAAATTGTCCTTTATCCAAACAACAATCATGAAACATTTCCACCGTGGCTTTTAAAGGTCAGAATAGAAATAAGTGAATTTGTCTTCTGCCTCTTGCAAAATATACAAGACCTTAAGAGTGTTACTATGCAGATTATGGTTTCCTGAGATAACTTTAGTTCTAACATGTTCCTTCACTTTGGGGATGTTCATCTAACAGAACAAATAATATTCAGAATAAGGAGAAAGAAAGGAAATAGAATAAATATTTGAAGTAAATAGAATGCTAAGAAAAAGCTTTGGGCTAAAAAAAGACATTGAAGCAATTCTGTAGTAGTTTTGGTTTTGGCTTTAGGAAAATACAATGAACAATGAATAAATCAGCAAAATATTGATTTTCACAAACTTTACTGATGGGAGGTATAAGCAGAGTTCTTTCAGTAATAGCCTGCCGTCTTGTCATGAGTGCCCACACACACACTGCCCCTGTTGGTTGAGATGGCTGGTGTAGGAAGGTGGACGGGGTGGTGGATAGTGTGCGTTCAAAGCATAGTGCTGTGCACAGTCACTGTGTGTGGCACTCAGCTTGTAACTCAAGGGAGTTTTGATTTCAGTAACAGCACCCATGGTGGTAAGATCATACACTATCACTCTGTTGATGAGTAATTTAACCCATACACTTGCTATTCACTGTTTGAACAAAGCATTGTATCATATCCTGGACCCTGGAGATACCCTGAAAAATAAGACCCAGTCCTTGCAGTTGAGTTCACAGTCACTTTGGGATAACGACCACGGCAGTGAGTATCGGTTTTGCTCAGGTCACATCTTGAGTCTTCTCAGACACGTCAGGTGTTTATACTGACTCGACTTGGAGCATTCTTCCTCAGATGTCTACACCGCTTGCTTTTTCATATACTCCATATCCTTGCTTACAAATCCCATTATCCATCTGGCTTTCCTTGAGCCGTTAATCAAAATCATAAACTCCCTTTCCTGTTACTCCCCAGCACTCTCCATTGCTTTTCCTTCCTTTTTTTTTTTCTCCTTCCATAGTCTAACATACTGTCAACACAATAAATGTTTACGTGTGCCTATTAGAAAGTAAGCAGGGAGTTATGTCATTTTTGTTCACTGCTCTATTCATAGAGCTTAAAACAGTAAACAGCACTCAATATGTATTTGTAGAATAAATGGCTAATTGTGCTGATGGTATTTAGGGCACTTACACAGACCTGCTTTCCTGGTTTCCATTAGTGTTTGACTTTGGGAAGTCACAGATGAATCCTGCTGTTATTGCTTCTAAATTCCCCATCTCCTAAAAATGATTTCTTTGTCAAAAACAAGCTGCATTTGTAGGTTGTGTTTTCCTCATGTTGGGCAATCTGGAGTGAGTTCTGGCTCTTGTAAGTATGTTTGTGGTTGCAGAGGAAAATGAATATTTCTCACCCAAATGTTGTCATGTCATCATCTCTGTCTGGCAACCAGAGAAGCAGATGTTCTGTTCCTTGACCTCAGGCTAGTGGTTACAGATATGGGTGTTAAATATATTTCACAAAACAGCACTTGCCCATGCGGGGCTGCTGTTTTCATTTAACGTGATGTCATCTCAGAACTCAGCAAGCTTTAGGAAAGGTCCAGTTTGGGGGCACTGGAAATGTGTGTGTGTGCGCACACAAATAGATCCGTACATTTATGTGTCTAGTTAGCTAGCTATTGCAAAACACATGTTTATTTTGAGATCATCAACACTTCTAAACACGACAAAGAGTAGCCCTAAGAACATTGCCAAGAACAAATTTTCTCCTTTCCAGAAAGCAATTTTCAGCAGATGATTTTCAGAAACAAAATTCAAAAAAGCCATACTGCTGTATCTTAACAAAGATAACTTATTCATTTATTTTTTATTCAAAAGCATTTATTATATATACTCTGGGCCAGGCACAATGCCCAGTTCTGGGGATAGAAGGATGAAGATGAGTTTGGTATTTCAGATAGAGCTTGATCGTTGGGCATGTCAGATGTAACCCCAGTGGAGCAGGTGAGCCTAGAGCCACTGTGTATTGAGAAAGAGGGTGGTGGCTTCAGTGTCAAGATTCACTAGATTCAGACTCCTGGGTGTCAGAGGTGGAGAGGAGAGGGAGATGCTGAGTGCCACAGGGTACTGTAAAGAGAGTTGTGCAGCTGATAGACCACACATGATGCCTGTGAACAGTTGTCCCACTAGACCTCGCAGTAGTTAGGGATGCCTGCAGTCATCTCACAGTAGACCAGTAGCTCAGCCTTGGAGTTTTGGTTTTAAATGTCTTCTTTCTTAGCTGTATGCATGCTTGAGCTCACTCTGAGCCCATTACATTTGAATCTCAGAGTGGGAAGGCAGCATCTCCATATACTTGATGCTGATGCTTTGAAAACCACCGAAGGCAGACTCTCAGGCTGGGCACAGTGGCTCATGCCTGTAATCCCAGCACTTTGGGAGGCTGAGGTGGGTGGATCATCTGAGGTCCGGAGTTTGAGAACAGCCTGGCCAACATAGTGAAACCCTGTCTCTACTAAAAATACAAAAATTAGCTGGGCGTGGTGGTGCATGCCTGTAATCCCAGTTACTTGGGAGTCTGAGGCAGGAGAATTGCTTGAACCTGGGAGGCAGAGGTTGCTGTGAGCTGAGATCGGGCCACTGCGCCCCAGCCTGGACAACAAGAATGAAACTCCATCTTAAAAAAAAAAAAAAAGTGGACTCTCAAAGGGGAGCATGGAAGCAGTGACCAGACTGAGTAGGCATGTACACTTCATGGCAACAGCCTCCTCCATAGCATTCTTAGAAGGTTTGGTAATGACCAGTTTTTTTGAATAAGATCCTATCTACATTATTCTAATTACTAACCACCTTTCATCTGCTAAGGTAAAATTTCACTTCAGATTGGTCCTCTTAAGACCATGCAATAACTCTTACTGTTTGTTGGTGGGAAACCGTCTCATTATTTTACTGGTTAAGGGTAAACTGAAGATGATTAGCTAAGTGGCTTTCTTTCTTTCTTTCTTTCTTTTTTTGATGAGTCTACCTGAAATGTGATTTGGGAGATTTGGGAACTTTGACCATGCAGAACAGTAACATTTTCTTTATGTTTGTTACTAGCAAAATTATAATGGTTTTCAAAGAATGGCTGTTGATAATAAAGCATGCCTAATATAGTGAAAGTTTGAAAATATCCCAATTTCTGATTGACAGAAGAAGAACTGGCAACTCCTCCGCTAGATGGCATCATTCTTCCAGGAGTGACACGGCAGTGCATTCTGGACCTGGCACATCAGTGGGTGGGTGCCTTTGATATGAACAACTTTTATAAGCCTGAAACAAAAAAACAACTAAAATAAGCCCAGCCCAGTGTTGAAATCATATCCTGTGGTTCCAACCAATGTTATCTAATCTTTCAATTGTAATGTGAATGAAAAGTATTCTAGAAGGGCTTTCTTGGCAAGACTATTTAAATAAGTATTGTTGATAGGGAGGGCAGAGGGAAACCAGTTTAGCAAGATGTGGTAATGGAGAAGTATTCTAGTAGAGGTCTCAATCTACCAGGTATCTCCTACCAACTTTTGTCTGGTTCATACTTGTTGTGCTTCCATCCAGCCAGTCCTTCACTTCTCAAGTTCGTGTTGCTTCCAAATGGCAATGATACTTCTTCCTTTTCTTTATTTATACTAGTGTAACCGTGCTTGTCAGAGAAATGAAATAATTTCACTGAGATATAAATGTTTACTAACATTATATTATTGGTTTGGCTGCCTTCTTTTTCTCTCTGTCCTACCCCCATCCCTCCAAAATTCATATACATGACTATTTTAAAATCAGAACATGCAAGCAAATGTAAGGTTGTTTTAAGTAGACTTTCAAATTGTGACACAGGCAAGTATATGAAACTACTTGGTGGAGTGGATGTGGTGCAGTGGTTCACACCTGTAATTCCAGCAGTTTGGGAGGCCAAGGCAGGAGGATCACTTGAGCCCAGGAATTCGAGACCAGCCTGGGCAACATAATGAGACCTTGATTCTAAAAAAAAAAAACAAAAAAAAATCAAAAAAATTAGCTGGACATGACATAATGTCCATATGTCATTTAGAAATGACATAATGTATTCAAGACAAATTATTGAATGAATTGGGTGTCTGGTAGAGGTTCTTGATGGAACTGTTGACTCAAGTGTTAAAATGGTCTCCAAAGAACACGACAAGGCTTTGAGCTTACTGTGGTCAAAGAGTACTAGTGCTAAGAAGACAAATGTTTAGAAACATACGCGTTATCTAGGCGCATACTAGCATGGTTTCTCTGGAAAAGACTTTGAAAATAGATGAAATGTGCTATAAATAATTCTACAAAACCCTGAAGTAGACAAGACCCAACTGCTACATGCTGGCTGACACATTGGGCATGACATTTGCAAACTGTTGGTATAATTTCAAACAGCTTGCCCTGTCCTAAATATGTTTGCAATTGGAAAGATATTTTCGAAGCTCAGTAATTTTTGTTTTATTAAAGAAAAATATCAACCAAGTACAGAAGATTTGATGACAAGTTGCAAGTGGAAATACTTTCCCACACTAATGATTTGCTAGCATGAAAAATAGCTTATTATGGAGGAAATTTTTTCTTGACTTCATAGCTGTAATTTGTTTTAGAAGCTATTTTAAAACATGAGACATGAAATGCCAAGAGGCATGCGGGGGGTCACCACTACTTGCCAGAAAGAGGGAAGTTGTCCAAAGATAAGTAAGAGTGAGCAGAGTAAAAACAATTCTGCTTATTTACAAAAGAGTTTTCTTTTCTTTTTCAGGACACAGAACTCAGCTTGTTTTCAATTAAGTTGGCTGATTTTCTGCAGTTTATTTACCTTTGAACAACATTGCAATTGCAGTCTGAGGGAAATCGAAACTTTCAAAGAGCTGTATCTCTATTGCAGACATATTTTCCTGCCCTTCCAAATCTACTTACAGCATGATGAGTTCTTCTTTTAAATATTCAAATATTTTGAATATTTTCAAAATACTTTGAAAATTGCCAAGATATTTGATTTCCATTTTTATCTCTTGTGGGTTTATAGATTTTAAAAAATACTCTTATCTTAATTTTTAAAACCCATCTTTTTTGTTGCCCTTTATTCAAATAACATGTTGACAAACTTTGAACTTGAACCACTGAGATAAAAGAATGAGAATTAAACAGATTAAAGAATGACTATTAAACAGATAGCTTAAAAAGATCAGGATTTTTCCCCCATTTCCTATTTTTGAGCAAAGAATACATTCAAGCACTTTGGCAGAAGTCAATGAGGTTATACCACTAATAACACGATGAAAATCAACTGAATGTGATACTGAAAGAGAGGGAAGAGAATCGTCACTGTAAAGTCAACTGTAGTAATATTAGGAAAAACACTGCATACAATACAATTGCTCAAACCAAGTCCAAATATACATTCAATGTTTAAAAATAGTGAGTATTTCAGGTATTTGAACTCAGTCTGTTCTTTATTCCATAAAAGACATAGGTAAGCCATGCATGGTCACTCACAACTGTAATCTCAGCACTTCAGGATGCTGAGGTGGGAAGATTCCATGAGCCCAAACTGGGCAACACAGGGAGACCCCCACCTCTACCAAATAAAAAATAAAAAATAAAACCTAGTTGGGCATGGTGGCACACACCTGTGGTCCCAGCTGCTCATGAGGCTGAGACAGGAGGATCACTTGGACTTGGGAGGTCGAGGCTTCAGTGAGCCAAGATTATGCCACTGCATTCCAGCCTGGGTGACAGGGCAAGACCTTGTCCCCCCCAAAAAAGACAAAGGTAGAAAGAGTACCAAATTTGGAGCCAATCAGATCAGACCTGGGTTCAAATTGAGTTTCTGTCATTTATTTCGTTTGTGGCTTTGGAGATGCCCATCAACCTTCTTGAACCTTAGTTTCCTCATCTGTAAAATGGGGACGATAGTACTTACCCTTAGAATTACAGAACTTGGCATAATAATGGGTACTTGATAAATGGTAGCTGTAATTATTAATATTATATAATATATTGTTCTCCTTTATGGTAAAGTCGGGTTTAAGACACTGTGTTTTGGGGTTTTGTTTTTTTGAGATGAAGTCTTACTCTGTCACCCAGGCTGGAGTTCAGTGGCATAATCTCGGTTCACTGCAAACTCTGCCTCCTAGGTTCAAATGATTCTCCTGCCTCAGCCTCCGGAGTGTCTGGGATTACAGGCACCTGCCACCATGCCTGGCTAATTTTTGTATTTTTAGTAGAGACCGGGTTTCACCACATTGGCCACGCAGATCTCAAACTCCTGACCTCAAGTAATCCACCTGCCCCAGCCTCCCAAAACACTGGGATTACAGGCATGAGCCACCATGCCCAGCCTAAGACACTGTTAACATGGAACACGCATCAGGCAACACTCGAGATGTATCAGTTTTGTGAGACTTAACAAGTTAACAAATAAGAAGGCAAAAAAGAAGGCGTATGTTAAAGTATACCATGTGTCTTATGGTGACAGTCTTCTATTTTATATTATGATAATCTCATATGTAAATCTGTGACCTTGAAGCAGGTGCCTAACACCTCTGTGTGTTCACCAATAAGATGGTGTACCCCTTCCAGCTTTCCAGTGAAGGATGATTATGACCTTAGCTAACTGCAATCAGAATGTTAAGCAGAACAATAAGTATTGCAATTGTTTGGCATGCCTTGTCCTTTAAAATATGCGTGTTATTTTTTATATTCCATGCAGGGTGAATTTAAAGTGTCAGAGAGATATCTCACCATGGATGATTTGACAACCGCCCTGGAGGGAAACAGAGTGAGGGAGATGTTTGGCTCTGGTACAGCCTGTGTTGTTTGCCCAGTTTCTGACATACTGTACAAAGGCGAGGTACGACAAGTATTTCCTCCCTACCTATCATTTCCAATTACATTAATTTAAGTGTGTGGATAAAATTGTATTTGGACCCAGACCTAAGATGCAAAAGTTTTGTCATTCTTGTTTTTCTTTATTTTATTTTTTTCTTTTTATTATTAGTATTATTATACTTTAAATTCTGTTATACGTGTGCAGAATGTGCAGGTTTGTTACATAGGTATACATGTGCCATGGTGGTTTGCTGTATTAATCACCCCGTCATCTACATTAGGTATTTCTCCTAATGCTATTCCTCCACTATCACTCTCCTAGTCCCCTACCCCCCTACAGCCCAGCAGGCCCCATTGGATGAAGTTCCCCTTCCTGTGTCCTGTCCATGTGTTCTCATTGTTGAATAACCACTTATGAGTGAGAACATGTGGCACTTGGTTTTCTGTTCTTGTGTCAGTTTGCTGAGCATGGTGGTTTCCAGCTAGAGATGGGGTCTTGCTATGTTGCCCAGAATGGAGTGCAGTGGCTATTGACAGGTGTGATCATAGCTCACTGCAGCCTCAAACTCCTGGGGTCAAGCAATCCTTGTGCTTCAGCCTCCTGGGTTGCTGGGACTATAGGAGTGCACCATTGCACCCTGCTAGATTTTTTTTTTCTAAACTTGGCATTAAAAAAAATAACTGGGACACTGTATCCCGATGAGACTGAATTAGCATATTTCTACTATGTTTCCAGTGATTTCATGTAAGCTCAAACATGGCAGGAAGTGAGTTTTGTCCTTGGACAGGTGTAAGATCTGTCTTACCTAAATGTAGGGATTGGAGTTATGCCGCTAGCCTTCTTTTCTTCTCTCTTCCTCCTACCAGCACACTAAGGGAGGCTCGATAGCTAGTTACATTTCAGTTTCTGGTTACCGAAAGTACTTCCAAACTATTGGATTAGGAATGGCAAATAATTATGGAAAATGCATTTGAATGGTCAATTCCTCGATTTATTACTATTAATGCTGTTATTGTTAATAATGAATAGACCACTGTACAAGAATTATTCATTGGCAAACCTGGTGCATTTACTAAAATCTTACAAAAGGAATTCAAGGATTTGGTAGGAAGAAATGTTTTCCTCTTAGTAAATTAGTCTGATTTGATATGTGTCATACTTTTGTTTTCTTGTCAATTGTTGTGCTTTCCTCTTTATAAAAAAGCTCCAATACTTACGGTTAACATTGGCATCTAACTTTATAACTTAAAGGCATGCAAGCATTGCCTTTATAATGTGAACTGGCTTAAGTTACTCATGTTACAGTGGATCCTTGAATAACACAGGGGTTAGGGGTGTCAACCCCTATGCAGTTGAAAAATCCACATATTAATTTTTTTTTTTTTAGACAGGGTCTTTGTCAACCATGCTGGAGTGCAGGGGCACAATCTTGGCTCACTGCAATCTCCGCCTCCCAAGCTCAAGCAATCCTCCCACCTCAGCCAACAAAGTAGCTGGTGTGCACCACCACGCCCTGCTAATTGTAGTACTCTTTGTAGAGACAGGGTTTCAAGGTGTTAAGTTCCAGTGATCCACCTGCCTTGGCCTCCCAAAGTGCTGGGATTACAGGCATGAGCCACCACACCTGGCCGGCATATAACTTTTGACTCTCCAAAAACTTAACTGCTAGTAGCCTACTGTTGATCAGAAGCCTTATCAATAACAAAAACAGTCGATTGGCACATATTTTGTATGTTGTATATGTTATATATGTATTCTTACAATAAAGTAAGTTAAGAAAATCGTGGGGAAGAAAAAAATATATTTACTATTTATTAAGAGGAAGTGGATTATCATAAAGGTCTTCACCATCTTTGTCCATCTTATTGGGTAGGCTGAGGAGGAGGAGGAGGGATTGGTCTTGCTGTCTTAGGAATGGTAGAGGCAGAAGAAAGTCCATGTCTAAGTGAACTTGTGTAGTTCAGACCCATGTTGTTCAAATGTCAACCGTAAACACAAATTCTACTGGTTTTCAAATTTTACTTTATAGTTATTTTCCCTCAGCTAATCGGAGTTTTCCTCAACTCCTCTGACCTAAAGGTGGCTTTATAACTTGGTGGCTGCCTCATTTGTTGAAGAACTTGCTTTTAGGGGATTGCTCCTGACATAATTCCATCTACAGATTGACGGTTTCATGGTAGAAGAATTATTCTGTTTTATATGAGTACTTACATTGATAATAATGCTACCGTTTAGTATCTTACTATGGTAGCATTGAGGTAATGTGATCAATCCATTAATGAAGGTGTCATTAGGCCAGTTCTTTTTTAAGTTTAATTATTATTTCACTTCTAGAAATAAGAAATTTATAAAGTTTAGCATAATTTTAATGGTCCTGGTTTAGGGAGTGTTTACAGCCAAAAATATATCTAATTATCCTATTATACTAAAGGGCATAATATGAAAAGTATTCGAGAGCACAGACTGTCTCCTAAAATCAAACTATCAAAACCTGCAAGCCAGCAAGGCATGAGTAGACATGACTCAGATACAAGTTAGAAGCATGAAATCTCTTTCAGCCATGCATTTAATCATGCTGTCCAGTATTATGGAGGTAGTGGCCCCTGGAAGTTTAGCTTGGGCCAGAGGCAGGTATAAAGGCCTAGACTTGCTTTAATTTATGCTCCCAGAATCACTTGCATTAGATTGTGGCAAAATATCTTTGATTTCCCATTCCTGCCAAAGGGTTAACATGTAGAAGACAGTCATTCATCCTTATAGATTCTCAGAATCTTGGAAGAGGTAGGGTTCTTTAAGTGTAGCTGCTATTTTCAGTACCTGTAGCTTCCCCTTGGTTCTTCAAATGATCCTGAAGATTGGTATACAAACCATTTATGCCCTAAAATTAATTGATAGGCAATGTACAACCTATCATAGGCTAGTTTTTGTTCAAATTTAGAATACAAAAGCCTTTGGCATGAGGAGCTAGCATGCAGTCAGTAGGTTTTAGTGCTATTCCTTAACTTCAGTGGAATTGCCTTAGCGCAGAAGAATCACTGAGTGTCTTACCTGTTATTACTGTATACATGAATACCCTCAAGTTATCTTGTTTCCCTTTATTCTGTAGACAATACACATTCCAACTATGGAGAACGGTCCTAAGCTGGCAAGCCGTATCTTGAGCAAATTAACTGATATCCAGGTAAAGGTTTTCTTTTCTATTCTTTTCTTTCACCTTATTTCTGTCAGAGCTTACAACTAAATTGTGTTGCAATGAAAAAGAGTAAATATTATAAGTTGAGATCAATAAGTTAAATTTAAGGAAGATATTCCCAACACTGTATGTGGGCATGAGCAAAACAGAAATGGGAAAGAGGATATATGTTTTTAAAAAAGAAAGAAAATATTGTTCAGGACTACATTACTTAACATTAAAAAATATAAGTAAATTTTGATAACATCTAAAAATCTCAAGAAGTATAACATATATCTGTTTTTAAAAATAAAGGAAGAAAAAACTTGAAAGTAGAAGAAACTAAAGGAAGAAAATTACAGTGCTTATGATTCAAACACTGAGATATAATCACTCTTAATTTTTGATTTTTTTTTTTTTTTTTTTTTTTTGAGATGGCGTTTCACTCTTGTTGCCCAGGCTGGAGTGCAATGGCACGATATTGGCTCACTGCAACATCTGCCTCTCAGGTTCAAGCAATTCTCCTGCCTCAGCCTCACTAGTAGCTGGGATTATAGGCATGGGCCACAACATCCCACTAATTTTTGTATTTTTAGTAGAGACATGGTTTCACCATGTTGGCCCGGATGGTCTCGAACTCCTGACCTCAGGTGATCCACCCACCTCAGCCTCCCAAAGTGCTGGTATTACACGCACAAGCCACCACACCTGGCCAATTTTTGATGTCTTAAACTTCATTATTTTGTAAGCATTTTATTTGTTTATTCATTTATTTTTGAGACAGAGTCTTACTCTGTCACCCAGGCTGGCGTGCAGTGGTGTGATCTCAGCTCACTGCAACCTCTGACTCCCGGGTTCAAGCAATTCTCCTGTCTCAGCCTCCCGAGTAACTGGGATTACAGGCCTCTTGCCACCATTCTCGGCTAATTTTTGTATTTTAATATATATGGGGTTTTGCCATATTGGCCAGGCTGGTCTCGAACTCCTGACCTCAGTGGTGATCCACCCATCTTGGCTTCCCAAAGTTCTGGGATTACAGCTGTGAGCCACCATACCCAGCCAGTATACTTTTAGATAGTTATTTTTTCCTAACAAATGGTATTATATTGTATTTAATTTTGTTACATGTTTTTTCACTTAATAAACGCTTTGCTGTTTTATAGCAATAGTTTTCTCGAATGGCATTTATAAAGTTTAATTGAATTCCATTATATTGATGTACCATAATTTTTTAAAGAAATTGTATTATTGAACATTTATGTTGTTGGCAATTATTTTTCACTATTATGAACAGTACGTCCTTGATTATTTCCTAAGGATAAATCTCTGGGATCAAATGGTACACACATCTATTTTTTTATGCTGCTAACTTGGTTTTGCCTATTTTTTTTCTGAGCAACAACCTACAGTAACGTCTCATCAGGCAGTTTAAGTAGGCATACCAAATACCAGACAACGCTGGGCTACTTGGAAAAGAGATTGTTCTGTAATTTGCAAGCATTTCACAAGTTAGAGGATTTTGTGGAACCCAGTTACCATGCTTGTCAGTTAGTAAAACTATCTAAGAGGGTCTGAGACATATTGAAAAGTAAAATAAAATTCGATCATTTGAGTGATGTCAGACAGTACTGAGTCATGAAACTAAGCAAAATTTAAAGTTGGTCGAGAATGCAACAAGCTTCAAAAGAGCAATGGAAGTACTTGCATAGGGATAAAAATGGCATTCCTGGCTGGGTGCAGGGGCTCACACCTGTCATCCCAACACTTTGGGAGGCTGAGGCAGGAGGATCGCTTGAGGCCAGGTGTTCAAGACCAGCCTAGGCAACACAGTGAGAACCTGCTTCTAAAAAAATGTAAATAAATTAAAAATAAAAATTTAAAAGAGAGTATAAAAGACAGTTTTAAAAGAGACTTACTCAGCAAGTTTTCTGCCAAATTTATAGTATTAAAAAGAAAGAATGATTGTTTGTTTTTGTTTCTGTTTGTTTTTTTTGGACAAAATTTTACTTTGTTACCCAGGCAGGCTGCGGCGGCACAATCTCAACTCGCTGCAACCCTTGCCTCCTGGGTTCAAGTGATTCTCGTGCCTCAGCCTCCCGTGTAACTGGGATTACAGGTGTGTACCACCATGCCTGGCTAATTTTTGTATTTTTAATAGAGTCGAGGTTGTGCCGTGATGGCTAGGCTGGTCTCAAACTCCTGGCCTCCAGTGATTTGCGCACCTTGGCCTCCCAAAGTGCTGAGATTACAGGTATAAGCTACTGCACCTGGCCTTGATTGTGGTTTTGGAATCAATGAGCTGCCATACTTCTCTCTAGTAAAGGTTTTCTATGACAATTTTCTCTGAACTAAGTAAAGAATATCTTAATATTCAAAGAAATAAAATTTAGTCAGAGCTGTTTTCTACCTTTGTACACAGCAACAATTAAAAGTAATTTGAAGAGTAGTTGATTAAAATTTCTGCATGGATGGCTTAGGCATTTTAATATTTTTAGGATTGAGTAAATCTGAAAATAATAAATTATTACAGTTTTGCTCAAATTAAGAACATAAGTAGAACAAAAAAAATATGTAATTGGCTAGATTACATGAAAGCCATTTTCCAGAATAGGAGTTTAGAGGCCAGGGCAAATAGGCAAGAAAAAGAAATAAAGGGCATCCAAATTGGAAAAGAAGAAGTTAAATTAGCTTTCTTAGCAGGTGACTTTATCTTACACCTAGAAAACCTGAAAACTCCCCAAAAAACTTGTAGAACTGATAAAATGAATTCAGTAAACTTGCAGGATATAAAATCAATGTACAAAAATCAATAGAATTATGTATGCTAACAGTGAGCAATCTGAAAAAGAAATCAAGAAAGCAATCCCATTTATAATAGCTACAAAAAGTCTAAAATACCTAGGAATCAATCTAACCAAAGATATGAGAGCTCTATACAAGGAAAACTATGAGACTCTGACTTAAAAAAATACTAGAAAACACACAAAAATGGAAAGATATTCCATGTTTATGGATTGGAAGAATTAATATTGTTAAAATGACAATACTACCCAAAGCAATTTACAGATTCAGTGCAATCTCTATTAAAATACTGATGACTTTCTTTACAGAAGTAGAAAAAAAATCCTAAAACATATATAGAACTACAAAAGACCCCAAATAGCCAAAGCAGTCCTGAGCAAAAAGAACAAAGTTAGAATCATCACACTACCTTACTTCAAAATTTATTTTAAAACTATAATAACCAAAACAGCATAGTAGTGACATAAAAACAGACATAGTAGACCAATGGGACAAAACAGAGCATCCAGATACCTAAGTCCATGTGTTTACAAACAACTCATCTTTGAAAAAGTTACCAAAATTATAACAGGGAAGACAGTCTTTTCAATAAATGGTTTTGGGAAAAATGGAATAATTATATGCAGAAGAATGAAACTAGATTCCTTTCTCTCACCATACACAGAAATCAAATGAATGTATTTCAACGACTTGAATCTTAGACCTGAAACTATGAAATTACAAGAAGAAAACACTGAGGAAATGTTTCAGGACATTGATCTGAGCAAAGATCTCATTCTGTCACTCAGGCTGAAGTGCAAAATTCTCCCACCTTGGCTTCTCTTGTAGCTAGAACCACAGGTGCTTGCCACCACACCCCACTAATTTTAAAATTTCTTATAGAGATGGAGTCTCACCATCTTGCCCAGGCTGGTCTCGAGCTCCTGAACTCAAGTGATCCTCCTGTCTTAGCCTCCCAAAGTGCTGAGATTACTAGCATGAGCCATCGTCTCTGGCCAGCAAAGGTTTCTTATGTAAGATCTGAAAAACACAGGCTATCAAAGCAAAAATAGGCAGTTAGGATTATGTCAAGCTGAAAAGCTGCACAGCAAAGGAAACAATCAACAAAGGGGATAGACTACCCAAAGAATGGGTGAAAATATTTGCTAACTCTCTATCTGACAAGGGATTAATAAACAGAATCTATAAGGAACTCAAACAACTCTATAGTAAAACTTGAATAATATGGTTTTAAAATGGGCATGAGACCTGAATAAACAATTCAGTAGGAAAAAAATCTGAGTAAAAATTGATAAAATAGCTGAATGGACATTTCTCCAAAGAAGACATACAAGTGGCCAGCAGGTACATGAAAAAATGCTAACATCACTAATCATAAGAGAAATGCAAAGCAAAATCACAATGTAAAATCCACCCACCCTAGTTAAAATGCCTTGTATTAAAAAAACAGGCAATAACAAATGCTGGGAAGATGTGGAGAAAAAGAACCATCATATATTGTTCGTTGACCTATAAATGGTACAGCCACTAATGAAGAACAGTATGGAGGTTACTCAAAAAACTAAAAGTAGAACTAGATCTTCAATGTGACCCAGCAATTCCACCACTGGGTATAGATCCAAAAGCGAAAACATTAATATAAAGAACATCTGCACTCCCATGTTTATTGCAAATAGTATTACAATAGCCAAGATAGGGAATTAACAGATGAATGGACAAAGAGAATGTGGCATACACACACACACACACACACACACACACACACACACACACACAATGGAGTACTATTCGACCATAAAAAGAATGAAATCCTGTCATTTGCAGCAACATATATGGAACTGGAGACCATTTTGTTAAGTGAAATAAGCCAGGGACTGAAAGGCAAATATCATATATTCTCATGCCGGTGCTAAAAAAGTGGATCCCATGAAGACAGAGAGTAGATTAGAGGTTACCAGAGGCTGAGAAGGGGAGTGAGAAGGAGAGGATGAAGGAAAAGAATGAGAATATAAATGTATTTATTACCATTAAACTGAACACTTAAAAATGGTAAAGATAGTAAAGTATATGTGTGTATTTTATCTTAATTAAAAATTTTAAAAATTAGGAGTTTAGAAATGTTTCAGAGAAGTGTGCCCATAGTGATAAGAAAGAAAGACTATTTTGGAAAATTTTCTTGAACAAATTTTATAGTATTTTCTTAAACAAATTGTATATTCTATAGCAGTTAATATACCAAGTGAGATTTCAAGGTTATCTCTTGGAGATTGCATAAAATAAAGAATTTAGGTGGGCATGATGGCTTATTCCTGTAATAGCAGAACTCTGGGGGGCTGATGCAGGAGCATCACTTGAGGCTCATACTTCAAGACCAGTCTGGGCAATGCAGTAAGACCCAGTCTTCACAAAACAATGAAAAAAATTATTAAGCGTGGTGGCACATACACACAGTTCCAGCTACTCTGGAGGCTGAGGCAGGAGGATCACTCTAGGCCAGAAGTGTGAGGCTGCAGTGAGCTATGATTGTGCCACAGCCCTCCACTCCAGGAAGGAAGGAAGGAAGGAAGGAAGGAAGGAAGGAAGGAAGGGAGGGAGGGAGGGAGGAAAGAAGAGAGGGAGGGAAAGAGGGGGAAGACAGTGAGGGTGGGAGGTGCCACTCACTTTTTAGAATAAGCAGATCTCCTGAGAACGCACTCGCTATCATGAGAACAGCAAGGGGAAGGGTTACTCCCATGATCCAGTTACCTGCCACCAGGACCCTTCCTCTGATATGGGGGATTATAATTCCAAATGAGATTTGGGTATAGACACAAATTTAAACCATATCAGAATGTTAGTGACTAAAGAAAATGTTCTTGATTAACTCTTTAATGTATGTATTGAGTGCAAGCCATATGCAGAGTCTGTTCTAGGTGCTGGTGGTTTAGTCAAGGAAAAGGGGCAAAAAAATGAAGACGGTGGCCAGGCATTGGTGGCTTACACCTGTAACCCCAACACTTTGGGAGACTGAGATGTGAAAATTGCTTAAGCCTAGGAGTTCAAGATCATCCTGGCAATATGGTGAATCCCCGTCTCTACAAAAAAATGCAAAAAAACCCAAAAAAGTTAGTTGGGCATGGTGTCACTCATTTGTAGTCCCAGCTACAGGCTGAGGTGGGAGGACACCTTGAGCCTAGGGAGGCTGAGGCTGCAGTCAGCCATGATGGCCCCACTGCAGTCCAGCCTGGGCAACAGAGTGAGACCCCATCTGAAAAAAATGGGGGAAGCACATTGATATAAAAGGACAGAACAAATACTCAGTGTAAATATGAGACTATATAAAACAGTTTAAAAGTAAACGATATATTTTCCACAGAATATGGGAGAGGGAAAAAAACTTTTCTCTCTAACTTTATATACTCTATAAATTAGTGCTTATGGCCAATAAGAAATGAATAATTTTTTTTCACCCTTGGAAGTAAAGTATAATGGTAGTTAACACAAAAAGCTAAATTATATGTTCAGAACCTCATACCGAACAAAGAAACAAAGGCATGCAGTCACAGGACAGGTGGAAACGGTGGTTCTGAACTAAAAACAAACCAAATGTGCTACAAATTGTTAAGTAACAAAGGACCATCCCTTCAAAATCGAAGAACACGTCTCAGCTATTTCATGCCTGTGTCCATGGAACCTAAGGTCTCAAAATTACTCTCTTACAAGACGGCAAATGGAGACTGTCAGCCAAGCTACTAGCTTGTCTGTTTCTCTAAGAAAAATAAATTTCAGTAATTATTAAGGAAAAAGCATAGAATTGCCTCATTTTCTACATCTGATTTCTTTTGGCATTGCATGGATGTTTTCTACAAAGTGCTCTGATAAATTGAAGAAGAGGCCAACAACAGCCACGAAAAAAGCCTTCAAGATTCTTGCCAGTTTGGCCCAGGGGAAAATTCCCTCATAACCACAGATTTGACTTTTCAACTTCTGTTCTTCCGTATATGAGTAATAATCTCTGAGGTTAAGTATTCATCCCGTTTAGCTACTTGTCCACATAACTCCCTGGGTCTTAGATTGCTCTATAAATACCTCCTAAAAGATGAATTTTTCAAATAAAAGTTTCTTTTTTCTTTTTTTTTTTTAAAGCAACAAAGAAAAACATGTCTGTGTTTATATTTAACCAAACTTGAACTTGGAGAACACGTTCCACGTTGTAGGCATGTTTCTTTTCTCTACCGTTAAACTCCTTACTGTTCCAGTTACTCACCATCATACTCACCTTTGCTTCAGCCACGTGGGGTCCTGTGTTCTGCACCTGTGCTCTGCTCTCTGATGCCTCCAGGTTTTGCTGTGCCTTTAGAAATTTCTCACCTGGATAAGGCCTTGGCTATCCTTTATGACCATCCCTGTAGGAACCTTTTAAATCTCTCTTGAAGAGTATTTCCTTCCCTCAGTCCAAATACACGTTCATTCACTTGAATGCTGCTTCTTCCTCCAGTTTCACAGCGCCGTGGGTGATCCCATAAGGTCTTTAGACTACATTGTAATGAGTCACACACTTGTCTCTGCTCTAGGGTTGTTTGGATTGTTCACTCTCTTTTTATACCTCCGGTGCTCAGCACAGGGCCTGGGGTATAATGCATATGCAGTAATGTTTCTTGAAGGAATGAAAGGGCAAGTGAACCCCCAAACAAATGCTAAACAGCAAAAAATGTATTGCTCTTGTGTATTAACACGCTCTGAGAAGAGACAGAGGAAGCTCTTGAATAATGCCAAATTATTTCTTACAGAACCTGATTTAGATTTTTTTTCAAAATGAGATACATGTTGACACTGCTGTTCTAATCAAATAAAAGGTAGAATCTGGATTTAAAGTATCGGGGGGAGCACGTGTGAATAACAAGCATTGCTGCTGCAGAGGCTTCATAAAGTGGGAAGCAGTGACTGCAAAGATCCAGAGATGGACATCTGGAGCATAGCAAAGGGGCAGCTTTAATGGGACAGGAGCAGGATCTGTATTGGTTGCAGGTCACCAGATAGAATTAAAAAATCTTTGTTCTCACTAGTGGCTACAGTTTTGTAGGCACAAATGACTATTGGTGGTTATTGTATTTGTCTTGTTTTCAATGGAGCAGCTCCATGACTTAGTTACATAAGAAGTTAAAAGCCCCACCCCTTTCCCTGCTGATGTCCTAAGCTGTCCTCTGTGCATACAAACTTCATCTCTAGATTGCCCTGGTGTGACTTAGTTCCTGGACCACCTTCCCAGCCCCTTTTGTTTCTAGCACACCCTCTTCCATGTGTTACAGGATTACAAAGCTTTGCACAGCCTTTCAATAGGGTTTAGAACAAGAATGACAAATTGCTACCCAGTAGGCAGCACTGACTATATTTTTGTCGGTGTTGCATAGAGTGACTGCATGACATGCAGGGTGTGCTTTGTTTTGCCAGGAACTTTCTGTTGAATGTAAAAGGCATTTAGCAAAGGCCATATGAAATTATCTGCCTTATGTACCCCGAATGTGAGGTAATGAACTTGCCATTAGTCATGTTTTAGTTTAGTGTTCTAGCTGGAACTTACAAAAGATTAAAATTCCGCACATTTCATCCAGTCTTCCACATGGACTCCAAATACCATCCCACAGGCTCGACCTGCCTTGCCATGTTGCTTTGACACCGTCTCTGATTCCAGTGAACAAAACTAAGTAACCGACTCACAGCCGGCCTACCAGACATTGAAGGTGTGAGCCTGCCCTGTTGTTTTGTAATGACAGTGACAAAAGTATAATGACATCCTAGTCCGTGAAGACATGCTTTCTCTTTTCCCTCCCTCTCTGTACACTTACTCTTAAGGAAATAATATAATTTCTATTTCTGCTTAAATCTGCCATCTCTACTTAAAATTATTTTCCCTTGAAAAATTAAATTGCATTATCCATCAGCCAAATGAAAAATTTGATTACTAAATGTCTAGTTCTACACATTATGAATTACCTATAATATCACATTTCTTGGGCACTTCTCAGAATGTTACGATTTTACATAAAAGCATAAATTACAAAATGAGAGGAGTAAAACAGTGCATATTATGTGGCTTCCTAGAGTGATATGTTGCCTACAACTGTCATTGTAATCAAAATTGATTTTTGATCATTTATAAAACTAAAACAACTAATTGAAAGCAAATTTACTTTAACTGATGAAATGCAAGATGAAGTGACAGTCGTCATGAATCACAGTTCTGTAGATCTGCTAAAATGTCAAAACACTGACACTCAATTGTTATTAATGGCAAAAGTGTTTAATATATTAATGGGAATCCAAAGAAGGGAAATAAAACACATATTTTGCCCTTACCTTAAGTCATGTTGACACCGTACATAAATCAGGTGGAATTTGAAGATGTTTCGTCCAGCATTCATCATGAAGCAACAGAGTCAATAGTGGGTGGTGACAGTCTGTAGGCAATGCTTTCTGGTGTGGATTATGCAAGAAACTTACAGTCATTTGGCTTCCTTTCTTCTCCTTTTTATGTAAACTACAAGGTGGTAGGTAGACCTATTCTTGGCTGCCAGTATTTTTACCACTTGGATAGATTCTGCTCTCTGAGGTCTTTAAGAGAAACACAGCATATGTACAGTGGGATACAGGATAAATAACATCAGACAGAAGCAGAGAACTGGGCTTGTCAAAATTAAGGGTGACCTAGAGCCTTAGTGTCCTTATATGCCGAGAAGCTAGGATTAAAATTCATTGCTCTTTACACTTGATTTTTATGCAGCAGAACTTTCTTCAAAAGAGATTATTCTGGAATTCCAATATACAAAATGGATAAGAAGTAGGAATGTTCTGAAGTAAAGATGTAAAATCCAGAGCCCCACTTATTTGAGTCATCTCCTAGGTTTTAGATGGTCATTAATGTTGTTTCTAGTTCAGAATTCTGATGTTTTATATTAATTTAAACTAAAGTTATGTTAGGACTCGAAAAGCCATTTCATGTGAAACTAGACATAGTCTGAGTGATTTAGGCAAACTCACAGTGACAGATTTAGTGGCCTGATACACTGAGTTGGAAAGATCTGTTCCAAGTATACATGGTTGTCTGAACACGTGGAGAGCAGTCTTGGTGGTGGTCAAGAACGTGGGATCTGCCGTGAGAGAGACTTTAGTTAGGGTCTGGGCGCTTCCATTTGTGAACTGCAAACTTGAGCACGTTATTCAATCTCCTTAATATTCAGTTTTCTCATCCATAAAATGGACTGATAATGGTACCTTCTGTGTACAGTTTCTATGGTATTAAATGAGGTAATAAGCCTGTAAAACTCTTGGCATGAGGACACTGGCATACAATAATTGGTCAGAGAGTGAGAGCTTATTATAAACACAGCCGTTTTTGTTGAATGACTGACCGACTGAATGAATTAATATAGAACTAGCTTCCTATTTATGATGTATGAAATATCTCTGTTTCATTTAATTTCATTTTAAATATTAAAATTCAGGCTTACTTTTAAAGCAAAGTATTTTCTGATGCAAAGAATCAAATTCTGACTATGATACAGTGACATAACTACTGAAGGAATAAGAAAGATGCTAATAGCATGAACAACTGATTTAGAGAACAGAGTCTTTGTTAAGATCCACGGGACTTGTCAATTTCATATTTTTGTTTATGAACATAAAACACTCTCGTGTCACGCCTGTAATCCCAGCACTTTGGGAGGCCGAGGCGGGTGGATCACGAGGTCAAGAGATCAAGACCATCATGGTCAACATGGTGAAACCCCGCCTCTACTAGAAATACAAAAAAATTAGCTGGGCATGGTGGCGCGTGCCTGTAATCCCAGCTACTCAGGAGGCTGAGGCAGGAGAATTGCCTGAACCCAGGAGGCGGAAGTTGCGGTGAGCCGAGAAGGCTGAGGCAGGAGAATTGCCTGAACCCAGGAGGCGGAAGTTGCGGTGAGCCGAGATCGCGCCATTGCACTCCAGCCTGGGTAACAAGAGCGAAACTCCGTCTCAAAAAAAAAAAAAAACACTCTCGTGTACATCAGAATCACTTGATGCTTCCTGAATCGCAGGTTGCTGGGACCCATCCCCAGAGTTTCTGATTCAGTCTGAGATGAGGTCGGAGAATTTGCGTTTTTAACTTGTTGCCAGGTGATGCTGATGCTAGTGGTCTGGGAATACACTTTGAGCATCACTTTTTCCACAGTAAAAGTCACAGTTGTAAAACAATTTAACTTAATGAGAAATGATAAAGAGAAGGCATGCATCTAATAGATAAAGGACCTATAGAGCTATGAATTTGTGTTCAGCAATAATTGTGAAATTTGTGATTCTTTTCCAGTATTTGGTTGTTTAAAAATCTCACTATGTATGCTTTATCTTATTTTGTTTACATGATGTCCTCTTTTCCTCTCTTTCTCTCTAATCCAGTTTTTTTTTTTTTTTTTGAGACAGAGTTTTGCACTTGTTACCCAGGCTGGAGTGCAAGGCACGATCTCGGCTCACCGCAACCTTCACCTCCTGGGTTCAGGCAATTCCCCTGCCTCAGCCTCCCGAGTAGCTGGGATTACAGGCACAGGCCACCATGCCCAGCTAATTTTTTGTATTTTTAGTAGAGATGGGGTTTCACCATGTTGACCAGGATGGTCTCGATCTCTTGACCTCGCAGTTTTTAATATGAAAATGTTTTCTTTTGTTGTTCAAAGCAGAAGTGAACTTTCTGTATAACGTTGGTGGTATTGTTTGTTTGTAAGCTATTTCTGCCCTGATAGTTTTTGTACTGAACACGTTTTCTTGCTTTTGTTGCAGTATGGAAGAGAAGAGAGCGACTGGACAATTGTACTATCCTGAACGGAAAATGGAGGATACCAACTGTGTGCTATTGGGACAGACTGTTGCATTTGAAATGTGGTAGATTTCTTTGGCTACCTGTTAGTAGTTGTCACCACGTAGTTTGTAGTATCAGTGTGTTACAAGAGTGATTGTTTCTTCATGCCAGAGAACATGAATTGCAATCATCAAATGGTGTTTTGTAAGTTAGTGGTAGTAGCTTACCTTACCTTAACCTTACCTAGAAAAATATTAACGTAAGCCATATAACATGGGATTTTTCCTCAATGATTTTAGTGCCTCCCTTTGTACTTCACTCAGATACTAAAATAGTTGTTTTTTCTTTAATATAAGTTATATTCTGCTCCTCAACCAAATGCAGTTTTTTGTGTTTGAAAGCTAATCTGAGTAAATTTCATAGGTTACATTTCCTGCTGCCTATCTTTATCTTCACAAAGTGTTTTCCTTTTTTTAAAATCAAGGCTTTTAAAACTGCATTTCCTCCTATCACAGTTTTCTGCACACCCTCCAAGTCCATCTTAAGGTAAATATCTCTCTCCTTTCTGATGTCACACTCTGAGCATACCCTGTGCATTAGGAAGACCTGAGTGCATTTCCTGCCATTGTCCTTTTCACGTGATATTGTAGCTGTCTGTCTGTCAGACGACTGCAAGACTAAGGGTCTTGTGCCTTATAGATCTTTGTATCCCCAATGGCTGACACATAGTAGGTACTGAGTAAACGGTTTATATAATGAGTGAATGGACATTTTGCTTCTATAGAAGTGTATTTCTATATTATGAAACCTCTTTGTTAGAATTTGTGATTGATTCTGACATTGTATAGATTTACCTTATATGGTCTTTATTTTTCATGAGCTACTAAGTCATTAGAGATACTCCAAAGCATAGTCTGGGGAATCATTTCATACTGACTGTTTTGGAATTGTCTTGAAATTGAAGATATATTTCTAGAGCAGGGACCCCCAACCCCCAGGCCACAGGCCACACAGCAGGAGGAGGTGAGTGGTGGGCCAGCGAGAAGCTTCATCTGTATTAACAGCTACTTCCCATCACTGGCATTACCACCTGAGCTCCACCACTTGTCAGGTCAATGGCAGCATTAGATTCTCTTAGGAGCATAACCTATTGTGAACTATGCATGCAAGGGATCTAGGCTATGTGCTCCTTATGAGAATCTAATGCCTGACGATCTGAGGGGGAAGACTTTCATCCTGAAACCTCTTCCACCCTGTAGTCTGTGGAAAAATTATCTTCGACAAAACTGGTCCCTGGTGCCAAAAAGGTTGGGGACCACTGCTCTAGAGAGAGGTCATGATATCATCCCAACCAAATGGGAATGGCAAATGTTTATGTTAAATGTTAATTGCAGAAATAAATCTTTTTTTTTGTTGGGGGGGATAGAAAACAGAGAGGCATACTCTGATTTTTATACTCTGCTTTTGCAGGTGCTCTTTTCTTTAAATGGAGATTTGATGAGCAAGTGGTTAGGATACGGGGAGAGCTATTATGGGTGACGTTTTCCTCGTCTAGGAGCTGTGAGTTAGGGTTACATTCTTTCTTGTTTGTCTAGGGGAGAGCCAAATCTCGACAGAAACCATTTTTCCTTGGAAAGTCAACTCCCAGACATTGCATTTTGGTTTTCCTCAGTCCTCATAACTTTCTTCTTGCTGAACATATTTTATTCTCTTTTCAGAAAAGGAAAAAGAAACATTCTAAAAGTTTGATGCATTGGAAAAATGTCCTTGAGGCATTTAGCAACGCACAGCAAATGGGCTTTGATTCTTTTCCAAAACTTTTAGCCATAGGGTCTTTTACAGACAGGAATAGTAAAATGAAAATTGAGAAATATAAGATGAAAAGGAATGGTAAAAATCTCTTTTAGGGGGCTTTTAATTGGTGATCTGAAGTCTTGGGAGAGCCTGTTCTTTTCAGGCCTGAGGTGCTCTTGACTGTCTCCTACACACTGTGTATCCTAAGCAGCATTCTAAGGGTGTGCTTTTGCCTTGGCGAACTCCTTTGACCTCATTCTTAATATAGTAGTCTAGGAAAGACTTGCAGGTAATTTCAGCTGTCAAGTGGTACATAGTAACTAGATTTCTATTCCTATGAGAAATGAGAATTGTTTGCCATGAATACATTTTATACTTTGCATCTCCAGATTTTTCTATGGTAGGACATGCCCATTGTGAAGCTAGAGAACATTATGTTTGTGTCATTTCTTTCATAAAACCTAAAGAGCATTTTTAAGCCATTTCCGTCAGACCCAGTGAAAACTAAGGATAGATGTTTTTAAAAACTGGAGGTCTCCTGATACAGAGAACACAATCCACCATTGTTATTCAAGTAATAAGACAGGAAATTGACCTTGACGCTTTCTTGTTAAATAGATTTAACAGGAACATCTGCACATCTTTTTTCCTTGTGCACTATTTGTTTAATTGCAGTGGATTAATACAGCAAGAGTGCCACATTATAACTAGGCAATTATCCATTCTTCAAGACTTAGTTATTGTCACACTAATTGATCATTTAAGGCATAAGATAGTCTAGCATTAGGAACATGTGAAGCTAATCTGCTCAAAAAGATCAACAAATTAATATTGTTGCTATTTGCATAATTGGCTGCAATTATTTAATGTTTAATTGGGTTGATCAAATGAGATTCAGCAATTCACATGTGCATTAATATAAACAGAACTGGTGGCACTTAAAATGATAATGATTAACTTATTTTGCATGTTCTCTTCCTTTCACTTTTTTCAGTTTTTTTATTTTCAGACCGAGCTTGTCAGCTTTTTTGAAAACACATCAGTAGAAACCAGGATTTTAAAATGAAGTATCAAGACAAAGGCAAAACCTGAGCAGTTCCTAAAAAGATTTGCTGTTAGAAATTTTCTTTGTGGCAGTCATTTATT